TTTTCATGGAATCATATAAGTACAAGGCTTTATAAATTATAGAAACGAGTATTCTTTTAATCGCTCCATGAAAAATTAAGTTTCTGATGGCTTTAATGCATTCTTACTGAAGGTAAATTTTTAATTTATGTTATTTTATCTAGCTAAGCATATCCTTTTCTACATGATATTTTATTACATTACAATATATAAATAGCAAATAAATAAAAAATAAAAATATTTTTTCTAAACGCACAAAAATGGCTACGTATTTAGACTAGCTAGTTGCCACGAGTACTAATCTGTTAGGGACCGCGTCAATAGCTGCTGTTGTCCCTTTTATAATTCTTCCCACCCCTCATCTTTATACCTGCAGTCCCTTGAGGCCCAGGACAAGTTTGTAATAGTTCTCCCTTTCAAAATATAACTTTAAACTAATAAAAATAAAAGAAAACTCGGAAAAATTAATAATGATTTATTTAAATAATTAAAACATTAGGATCGCATATTTGTTTTTCATATATTATTAAAAACACATTTTAAAGGTTTATATAAAGATTCATTGACTAGCCTTGGATTCGTAGGTATACATCTTACGGCGCTTCACTGACGATAAAAGGACAAAAATGATTGATTTCTTATGCAAATGGAATATACACCCTTATCAAAAATAGTATTTAAATGCTGTCAGTATTTTCTTCTTTAAAGGGTTGTTTATTACTCTTCTTTCCAGCTCAACGAAATTTCAAAAATAAATTAGTGAATTATAACTTATTAATGGCAATAACGCTTACGCCATTTTGCTGTGTATCTCTTTATCTTATTTATATTCTGAATAACAGTATAAACATTCAAGTTCAATTGTATCGATTATTTAAAATCCCCTTATTTTGAAATCCTTTCTACCTCCGTTTTCCACTCGTGTCACCAACCACATCCATTAAATCCAAGAACACGTGAAAGGAGACTAATCTGTGTCGTTGTTTCATGTTCGTCCTCCATATGGATAAATCCATTATGCCAATAATTCCCTTTTAATTACGACTCCGTTAACGCAGTGACGTACGTCTTACCCTGAAACGACAGCTCTCTGAATATCGTTTTAAACATGTTTAAATTAATCATTTGCACAAAAGGATTTGATGAACAAGAAAAAGAAAAAATAATTAATAAATGCAAATAAGAAATAATTATACTGTGACGAAGTCACTAAAATTCCCATTAATTTATTCCATTAATTAATTTCTAAACTTAATTTCCGTCTATAAACATTTGCAACTAACTAATATTTCCATAGAATTGCCGTTTTTAACCTTTGCAAGAGCCGTCGTAGTTTAAAACTTTTCATTATCACAATAAATTAAATCATGTCTTAAAAATCGCAATTCTAGTAGGTTTATCCTAATAGAGTGTTGCCTATACGGTAATTTTAAGCAATTGGATCAGAGCTTAGTGAATAAGACATAACATTGCACTTCGAGGGATTCAAATTAAGGTTATTTTCCCGACACCATTCGATAACTCCCAGAAGATTTTCAGATAGCCTTTCACAATCCGCGACGTTCCCAATTATTATGTAAAATTTAAAGTCCTCAGCGTAAACTAAAGAATCAACATCAACTACATCCACGATGCCATTCACGAAAATTTTAAACAGTAACGGGCCTAGAGTTGATCGCTGAGGAACACAGGAGGTGGCAAAATACTGATCAGACTTAAATTTATTTAATTAAACGTATTGTGTTCTGTTGGTGAGATATGATATAGGAAGCCGAATAAAATTGTTTGAAAGTCCAAAAGAGGCAAGTTTTTTACCAAAATACAGTGGTCAAGCTTATCAAATGCCTTTTTCATATCCGTATGGGTTTGAATCTCAGCGGCAACAGGCTTTATTCAAATCTCCATTTGGGTGCAGGGTGAATTTAATAATTCGTAGGTTGATTTTTGAAATTTCTTTCCGAATTTTCAAATTATTTAAAAATAAGAAAGTTGACTCTTTTTCCCAATTTTTAATAAAATCCGTCCTAGTTTATTTTTCTTTTATTTTATTAAAAAGTGGTATATGATAATTGTATTACTGACATAGACCAATATCCACGGTAAGAAAACATCAATGGTAATGCTAACTGTAGTACAAATACACAAAACTGTACCTTGTAGATTGTTAGAGAAGATTACTAGATTAACCGAACGTTCAGCAGCACCACCCCCTATTATTTAGTAATATAGTACAAGATTAAGGTCAGCGAATGCCTGCAACAACCCGAAATATTTCAATGTAAGGTTAGTGCCATGTTTAGTGGCGCAAGATTGACTGACCCACTTAAAATACGAAATTTCCATCCGGTTTTGGACATAAATCTCATTCTCAAGACAAAGCCAATTTCATTTTAACCCAATGCTGCTCCGTTCGCTACGGAGGACCTAGAGCCAACAGCTTGTGTGCCGCCACCGCAAGTCGCCTCCGGCTCGAAGCGAATTTCGACGCCGCCCGTCTTTCCGCGCCACCACCGAGCCAAAGATGAAACAAGACTTGCATGTGTATAATCCGACTTAGCTGGGAAATAGCCTAGTTGTTCTAGATAATTTTTATCAAGCTAGCTAATGATTTTCGAATAACAATTCTTTAATTGGAGGAATAAGTTCGAAAAAATAAATATTCGAATGAAACACTTTTGAATGACAAAATTTTTAATGAAATTATTTCGATTAACCAAATTTGGAACGACATAATTTTGAAATGAAAAAATTTGGAATGACAAAATTTGGAATGGAAAAATTTGGAATGACAAAATTTGGAATGACAAAATTTCGAAAGACAACATTTTGAATGATAAAAAGTGTTCAAATGTGGGGGTAAGAACGTTTTTCGTCGACACGAATACAATGCTGAAGCCCCATTGATAGGAAAATACAAAAATTCTTTGATCTGAATACGTTTTAAAAAATAATAATTCCTAATTCCAATCGCTTCAAAGTTTCTATAAGTAAATTCGCTTAGATTTGTGAGTGACACTTACAGTCCCTTCAGAAGCGGGCCCGTAAAGAACTCAGAGGGGATATACATATATAAAGGCAAAGCAGTTCCACGATAAGGGCGAAGGAGTTCTAAGACGTAAAGCATCAAGGGCACGTCTGAAACCATGAAAGTAATTATTGTTTCAAAATGAAATGAAACTTTGCGTAATATATTCCGGTAATTACTTGAAAAGGAGTTTTAATTGGTGTTTAGTAAAGTCATCAAAGACCCTACAAACGTCTATTGGCATCTACCAATGGCGTACAGGGATTTTGGAAGACGGATTAGATCGCTGAATGCGTGTTTAAAATTTTATTGGCGTTTAAGGAAAGATTTAATAGTTTATTGATCGTTTCAATTAAAACCAAAATCTTTTGTTAGTGGTTTTGATAGGATTTTAAAGTTTGTATCTTCCTTTGTACTTATACCTAATATTTATTGATATTTATACACGAAATACAATAACTTAGGATATAAGTAAGGAAGATAAAGTTGATCTAATTTCAAGACAAAGCGTGTTGGAGCCGACTCTGTCCATCCAATTTTCACGTTACTACAATTATTATATGTTAGATATTTGTCAGAAATGTAATGTCATGCGTCGTACGAGGCATTCGGTTCGGCCTCGGCTTGCCTCATACGCGTACGTGCTCAGATCTGTACCCGCCTTTATAAGTTCAGGCAAATACAAGAAAGTGAGAAAATTTAATACATTTGATAAAAATAATTCAATTACACATTAAATTGATAGTTAACTTGAGAAGATGAATGAAAAATTGACTATAAAAAATATTGAATGATGTTGCATGTAGATATTTAAATCGTTCCTTTATTTCAACCATGTGGCATATGTCGTATGTCGAGACTTGGAGATATGTCCAGACTTGGTTCTACATGGAGCTGCTTAGGAGCTACTTGAAGCTATTTCGACATTACTTGGCGCTATTTCGAAACTACTTCGAAATTTGGAGCTGGGAGACTATTTGAGGCTACTTCAACATTACATAGACCTTGTAGCTTGGAACTCGGAATTCCCTTGGAGCTCGGAACTTCGTGCTTGGAGCTTAGAGCTTGGACTTGGAGAAATTACTCTACTTGGAGTTTGGAAGCTACGTACCTTGGAGCTTGGAGCCACTGACAATTAATCCCAACGGTAACACAATAAGCACATATAAAGACAAGATAATTGCGGAAATCTACTCATAATAACCACAACTGGTAGATTATTTGTCGGCACAACACTAGCACATTGAAGTTTGAGTTTGATAATGAAAAAACACGATATAGGCGAACAGCAGCCAGTTTTATAGCGTGAATGTAGAAGAACATGAGGAACTAGCGCGCAAGCCATGCTTTTGCAATCCAGAGAGCGGTATTCGATTAATTTTAGTCATTTATGAGGGGTTATGGAGAAGTTGTTAAAAATAAATTTGAAATTAATTTCACGTAACACCCTTCCAGGCTTGTGGAGCCTACTTTTTAGTAAAACAAAATATCAAGTCGAAATAAAAAAATAAATGTAAGACCAGGCGATGGCGGCAAAGACGTTTATTTAAAAATTGCTCAAGATATGGTGGAGTTCTTTTGCTCAGAGATTTACAAATGAAGAACCAAAGTTTATTTCAAAATTTTAACCGTATGTCTGTAGCAGATTTTGAGAAACTCTTGGTTCTGGTAAGACCGATAATATCAAAACGAGATACAAACTATCGAAAGTGTATTTCATCCAGGGAAAGATTGGCTTTGACTTTGCGATTTTTGGCTACAGGAGATTTCTATACAAGCTTGATGTATTTATTCAAAATTTCCAAGCAAAGTGTTTCTGCGATTATACTAGCTGTATGTAAAGATTTAATTACAGTTCTGAGTGACTTAATAAAGATTAGCAATTTTGTTTTACATTCCTATTCATTTATTTTAAAATACACACAAAATAATATTATATACGTTATTTTAAATTTTGATATTTTTTTGGAATAATACAGTTATTCAAGTTAAAATGCTCTTCCTCTTGAGGAGACGGCATTAATGTACTACAAAAACCTGGCCGTACTTGATAATCCTTATCTCTGGAGTAAACAATTTGTACAATAGATGAGTTGCTACTTGCATCATTCAATGATGACCCGAAATGCTGTTTAGAGGGCTGTCAATCGAGAAAGCTCGTTTCGGTGTTATAAATAGTGCAGGGTGAAGACATTGCAGTCCATTGCACTCTAAACTAACTGTGTTGCTAAACCACATAACTGGCTCTACTGCAGTTTGATACATCTGAGTATGAGGTTTGCGATTGTAAGCTGCTAAGTTTGGTCTCATAAATTATTCTGTTAATTTTAAACTTGACATATGCTTTGGTTAACTGATCAAAGCCTCTTAGCTTCATAGAAATATAATTTGCAAATAAGTAGCAAGAATCAGGTGGCACATTCTGTTTTTCATATTTAGTTTTGAGAATATCGAAAGCTTATGAGGCATGGTTGTCATTTTCTATTGTCTTCACGTTTTTTGGCACCTGCTTCTTAGTTGATGACTCGCTTTTTCGTTTCTTGCTTATTTCCTCCAAACTTTCGGTTCTATTTTCTGTTAAGGCATTTACATGTAATTCTTTATCCTGAGGTTCATTACTGTTTGTCGTATTCGCTGCCGTATTCGCTTCATCGACGGCGAAGTCATTTGTTTCTACATTTGTTTCAGAAGTTCCCACATTGACAGATGCATACTGAGCCTCCTAAAACACAATTTAATCTACATTTTTTTATTTTATTTTAATTTTAAGTGTATTAGTATTTTATTTTCAGATTCCGGATTTATCTGAAGAATGGCTCGCGGTTGCCGAAGAATGTAATAATAGATAGAACTTCCCACACTGTATAAGTGCTATCGATGGTAAACACATCACACTGCAAGCACCTTTTAATAGCGGAAGCAAATATTTTAGTTATAAAGGGTACTTCAGCATTATTCTTATGGCAGCAGTTAAAGCAAATTACTTATTTTCATTTGTCAAGGTAGGATGCCAAGGAAGGATTTCTGATGAAGGGGTTTTTAAAAATACTGATCTGGCTACAAAGCTACAAAATGGAACCTTACCTACTAGCAGCAACACCATTGTTAAGACAGAAACAATGTACACCTCTCGTTTTTGTTTCTGACGATGCATTTTCTCTACAGGAAAACATAATGAAGCTGTACCCTGACATGCATTAGAAGGGAAGCCCTCAACGAGCCTTTAATTATAGTTTATGTAGAGCTCGCCGAATAGTTAAAAATTAGTTTGGGATAGTATCATCCATATTTTTATTGGAATCGAGAAAGGCTACCTCCGTAGTATTTGCATGTCTCTATCTACACAATTTTTATTTCAAAGTAAATAATCAACAAAGGTATATGCTCCTGAAGACGCCTTTGATCGTGAAGAATACGAGACGATGCAAATAATTCCCGGCTCATAGAAATGAATTCCTTTTAGAGCTTTAGAAACATTCCAAGAAAATCTACTATGAAGTCACGTCAAATTTGAGATAATTTCGCTGAATATTTTCCTCCGGTTGAAAGAGTACAGTGGCAAAGTGATTTTGAATAAAAAAAAGCTGCATATAAAAATCTACCAGTTACATAAAAAAAAATACTTACCATTTCCCGTGTTTCATTTGGCATATATCTGTCACTCAAAAAACCCATACGTTCATGTCCAAACCATACTTCTTTATTAATCTCTTCTGTGTCCATTCCTAATTTTTTCATTCGTTCAACCTTTTGACGAGCTCTTCGGTATTGCGCTAAAATAATACTGATTTTGCTTTCTACATCATCTTTTGGTTTTGATAAAATCATGCCTATGTCTTAATATGCGTCATTAAATGTCTCTTTTATAATCTTTGTGTCCGGGATTCCACAAATTCTCATGCCGTTGATATTCTTCTATCAACCACACAATTTCGTCTTCTGACCAGTCCATGTTTCTTTAAAAAACTACACTAATATTAATAAGATTTTAAAATCTATATAATAATAAAAATGGAGCCTATTTTTTCTTTTATACCCCAATAATAAAATTTATTTTCGAACAGTAAACGACCACACACAAACTGAGCTCGCCACGTGTTCGCAAACAAACCCTTTGAAGTTACCGACTCGACTCGGAACTCTATATGAACTGCCGAGCTGCTCTAGAATTGTTCGTGAACACGCGTATACACTAATATCGGAAAATACTCGCCAACTATTCGAGAACAGCTCGACAACTATTCGAGAACAGCTCGCAAACTTGGTCTGTAATAATAATATCACTATTAAATAGCTCGTTTTTAGTCCTGAATATCATCTCTCTAAGAGATATCTAATATTTAAAAAAAACCGAATCTTTAGATTTTATTTTTTAATAAAGTTAATGAAAATTATTTTATTATATAACATCTGGTAGTTATATTTAAAAACGTATAATGATATTTCTGTTTGACATGCGGCAATTCAAAATTGCTGACACGTGAATGTTGATATACATTCGAACATATTCAAAAACGTTTAGTATTCAATGCTCAACCAAACTTTGCACCCTACAATATAAAATATTATAAAAAATGAGACGGTAAAAATATGACCTTGAAAGTTCGACTGAATAGCCAAGCAGACTTTAAGAAAAATGAGGGTCTATTTGAGAATGTGTGAGAGGAAACTGAAACAAGATAACTTATTTACAAAACTTTCGATTTTTATATACATGGATTCGAATAGATATAGACTTGGCCACACTTAAAGAAATTAAACTTTTATGTATCTAAAAATGTTGTATAGTTCTTTTTTTAACTTAAAACCGCAAGAGAACTTGTATATATTCTCATTGCAGTCATGCAGAGTGGAACAAGTGTCTGTAAAAGAAAACCCAAGTAACAATTTAAACTAGTAAAACCGACAGTAGATTTAGCTGTAGAAGTATCTTGCATTTGTGTTAAATTTTGCGGCTATTCAGAGGATTTAGAAAGTTGTTTTAAGACATAATCATGTTACAAAATATTATTGCAATATAACAGAGGATCAAACTATTCCAAATACAGACATTACCATTCTTTCATTTCCTTTGCTACCTCTTCCCATCCATTTTTTACTATAACTGTATTATGATAGTCTTTAAATGTTTGATCCCACAACGGCTTCCTCGATTGAACATATAAAATTAGCTTTTCTAAATCCATTTTACATAAATCTTTTAACACAATATTCTCAAATATTATTGAATATGCCACAGGTGTCAGCTTTCTTTATAACGTTATAAGAAGCATCACTTTGTTATGTAAAATAACTTTGCATGTTTTATGATTGTTTTATAAGTTTTTAATAAGTTTTTTTATTAATTATAATCATGGGAGGTAATACCCCCCAGTACATCCCCCGTAAATCCGCCCTTCATTCAGCACCACTTGTATTTACAAGAAACACTACATTGAATGCAGTAACCTTATTGTCCAACAGATTTTAAGTATAAATTTGTACTTTTTTAACTAATATAAATTCTTAAAACTGATGATCATTTCGTATAACGAACTCCCATCTCAACGTTATTCATGTGGTCTAAGTTAATGCGAGCTTCTTTCTTTCAAAATTCACATCATTAAGCACGCAGATTGTTAGTAGTTGTGAATCCTGCCGACTGCGCCAAATAACTTAGTTTCCCTCAAGTGTCAGGAAGGAAACGGGGTAAGTAGAGAAGAATAGACGACTAGAGACAAGAAGACGAGCGACGAAGAGACTCCGTCACAGTGTGTCGAGTAAACAGCGATACCATCAGTCCACAGATTACAGATATGAATAATTTCCCAACAATTAATGAAAAGCGGCAGTTAGTGAAAGCCCTTAAACCACCTCCTGAAAACCTGAAAGCTCTATATTGTTTCTGGCGATTCTATTCACAGCTCGCTCCGATATGCATACGATAGAGCCTCTCGGCTCTATGCAAATTTGCTCTTCGCAGATTGCAATCTTTTTTAGAGGCCGAAACTTTCGTTCTCAGAGTTAATAACTTCCTTAGAATGTAGGCTCGAGTGTTTGGAGGTTTGAAGTTTCGAGTGTTTGTAGGTAATTGAGATAATGCATTACCCCAACGAGAATTGCTGTTGTACGTACATATAAGAAAAATTAACTTTATATACGGTGGTTCGAAATAACTAAGCAATAAATTATGTATGGTGTTAGATATTATTTTGGAAATAACTTCATTTATTTTCTAAATATTCCGATTTGTCAAATATAAATTAGGCGTGAATTACTCTTATTCTTCTGATAATTATTATTACTAATTGTAAATTACATAGAAAAACAACCTACAAATGTCACGAAAGATTCTAATATAAACTTTCCGACCGTTCACATTCACCAATGTTGTTATTAATGTTATAATGGATATTAACTGTTTATCGTTGAAATATTTCTTTTGAATCTTATTAGTTTTTCAAACCTGCAACAATATTGCTTCTGTTATTAAACGTTGCTGTTTCCACTAAAAACATTAAGTTCTTTTACTAATGAGGTATTTTTGTGTTTATTCCACATGTTGGGTTATGGTCACACTTGCGAGGGATTTATCGTGAGAGCTAAATCGCTGACTATAATATCGCGGACGGCAGGCGACAACTGACAACTGACAACCAGTCCACTGTAGAGCGATTAAAAATGCAATTTTCGGTACGCTGCTCTCGCGTCCGTTTGTTCATTTGGAAGATGATCCGATTATTGATGCTCTAACCAAGTTTAAAATAAAAAAGTCTATATCACTTTCTTTCGAACCAGAAGCAATTTTTTAGAGCAATTACGGGAATATTCCGTAGGCAATACTTACGTGGCCACCCGGTATCATAAAACCTAAAATAATATATTACAAAATGACAATTGCGTTTTAAACCGCAAGCAATGTCGGTTCAAAATGTTTATTAGTATCCTGTTATAAAATAGGTATACTTTGTGAAATTAACACTTCTTTCAAACAAGATATCGTATTGACCATAATATAGCGCAAATGATAGAACAAAAAGATATAAAAATGGCTCTAAAAGTCAAACCAAATTGAATACAAAGCAACACTCTTTGTCGCTAAGCCATTTTTGTCTAAGCAGCTTTTATAAGTATATTTACAATATTCTAAAAATACATATTAATTCATGTTGTGACAAAAAGGCGAGGTGTCAACTGAGTCAGTTTTACTAAATATTAGCATAGCTCGTTTTCTGTTTTTCAACCGAACCTTGAAAACAATACAAAAAAATATTAAAAGCAAATAAATGTAAATAAATTTCAAAAAACCTGAATTAAGGTGTTTAAATTGTATCGCCCTATTCGTCTACAAAAAGACCTAAGGACTATAAATTAAGTTTTTTTGTGGATCGAGTGAGACAATCCTTAGAATTTTTGGCTACAGAGAACAAAGCAGTATCGTCGGCGAATAGAAGACATTTTGAGGGTTGGAGGAGAGATGTCGTGGGTATATATGAGGTATAAGAGAGAGGCTAGGATGGAGCCATGTGGCACCCAGCAAGTGGGGACAGAGCGTTGTCTACTCTTACCGTGATTGTTCTGTCAATGAGGTAGGAGTGAATGAGTTTGAATATATTGGGGGGAGACCCATGTTCATCAGCTTCTTGGCTAGTCCAGTATGCTAAACTTGGTGAAAGGCTTTTTAATCATGTAAAAGAACACCTGATGAGATTTTTTGGGAATTTACTGTAGTGTGAAGAGAGGAGATTGTATCCTGTGTAGAGCGATGAGATCTTAAACCATGTTGCAATTAAGGAATGATATTTCTTTCTTCACAAAAGTACCAGATTTTTTTTTGAGCAGAAGTTCAAGGAGTTTACCTAGGACTGATATGAGAAAGATAGGACAGTATGAATCTAAGGATTTAGGGTCCTTGCTTGGTTTGGAAATCAAAATGGTGTTAGCGGATTTCCAGGCAGGATAGAGAGAGACAGGTGTTAAGTAGGGCGAGGGTGGGAAAATGGTGGCATATTTGATGTCTTGTTGGGTAAATGGGGAGCTGTAAGGGGATTTTTGACATCCAAAGTGGGGCTTGAGCAGCATGTGTCTTAATTGGTCATCAAAGTAGGGGTTGTCGAGGGTTTTGTCGGTGATTTCAAGGTGGTTTGCCTGGGTTAGGGCTTTTTCGTCTGTGGTTAAATGGGGGTTATGTTATGTTATGTTGAGAATGGGGTGTTAATACACTACGACCTAAAAGATCTATTGTGCCCTTTTCTGTCGCCACTGCACTAAGTAAATGTTTCAATGCATATAGCGACCCTTAATCCTATTTTCTCAAGAAAGTGTAGGATTTGAAGTGGCTTCAAGTTAGGTAAATCTCCCTCTTCTATTTGGGGGTTACACCGTCGATTTTTATGTGAAAGTGAGTGTTTTATTTTTGAAATTCAGTGATGCTGAGTGGAAGTCTAGACTTAATTTTTCTTAGTGATAATATTTGTAAGTTTTCGGTATTTAAAAGGGCCTCTCCCGAGCGAGACCGTTGCAATTTACAGTTGCAATTAGATAACCAATAAAGGTCATGGTTTATTGGAGAACAGGTAAATATGGCTAAATTTCCATGACCAGTGATGGTATATGAATGATCGAAGATGGCTAGGATTAGAGATCCCAATAATTAGGCTAAAATTTCTCGACTGTTAGGGTGGAGATTCATCAGATATGTAGAGAAAAGTTGTATGGATATTTTGAGTTCAGATGTCATGTCAAGGTGGTCAAGTTTGGGAGGTGACAGGAGTTAGCTCTTTGGGTTTTGTGAAGGCTTTTGCCGTTTTGGAGAGATTATGGAGTGGTTACGGAGGATCGATGTTGTT